GCATTCAAGATAGCCGAATGTGCCTGTGAAATCTCAAGTCTCAATCATCTCATCCCCCCATTCCCCTCCACACATCCCGCCCCGCCCTATCCGCTTTGCCGAATGTTTGTCTTTGTCAGCCCTCCTCCTCCTCCTCCTCCTCCTCCTCCTCCTCCTCCTCCTCCTCCTCCTCCTCATCCTCCTCCTCCTCCTCCTCCTCCTTCCCCCAACCCCCTCCTCCTCCTCTCTTTCGCGGCGTTGACTCACCGGCTGACCTCAACGTCAGAGCTACGGACAAGTCAGGGCGTTTGCGTCGCAAGAAGCCGCCAAGGCTGCCATGGACCACATGCGTTGGGGTTTGCAAGCCGCGGTGAGTAAAAGAGGAAGCACCACGTGCTGGACTTCAGCTGAACTCGTGCTGGCAGTATTCTCACACCCCCACCTGCGCGAAGTCTGGGCCCTTCGGATGCGGTGGCAGAGACTACTCGTCCGACTACGGTCATGTGCACCAGGTGAATAACGATGTGTGATGCTCTCGTGGGAGGAACGTGTGCCGATGCGGTGGCTGTTCACTTGGATGTTGAACGGCTCTTGTGTTGCTGTTGCTGTGGTCTTGTGTAATACTTGAGTTGTGTGCTGTTCTGTTGTTGGCTTGCCTGTAGTGGCGGTTGGCAACACATTCTAACCTTGGATCATGTCTTGAATGATTGTAGATGATTCTTGCGATCTCGTAAAGACCAGTACAATTTGATATTTTAGACATGTCGTGGTTTTGCGTTTTTTTGATGATTGGACAATGATTTTAACGCAATGACGGAAACGTGCCTTGCACGATGGTGTCATTTAATCAGGAATCTTACTATTGATGTACCATGATGATGTATTCGTATCAACTAATCGATGATATCCTGAGCTAATCGGTCATGTACACTGTCACTACAAGTTCGAGCAGTAACGATGCTGACTTTGAATCCTTTCAGGGACATGCTGTTGTGTTCATGAAGTCGATGCCACTTAACTTGTAAGCTCAAGAGAACCAACGTCTCATTTACGCTGCTACCCGTGTATAGTTTGTTACGAGCAGATAACAAGAGGACGGCACCGATCGAGATGATTCAAGAATAAGAATAGATAATTAAATTAGATCTTCAAAACTTTGTCAGTTCGACGTTAGTCGTGAATTTCCGCCACACCATCCTGCATCAAATGCTCGCATACTGTATGACATCAAAACAACCATGCACTTGGGATTTACCCTGCTTGTGACCACTGCTGCCAGTGAAGGATCCTTGAAATTCGACACCGGCAAGAATCCTCAGTCAACCCTTAGCAAGTGTCGCACCTTAGGAGCCTGATTTGAATATAGCAGGGGAGGTGATCGATGGTTGCATGTCAAAACAACATCTCTTTTGCTCTTGTCACCTCAATCTATTGAAAAATCAGAGTTTATCAGCGCTATTGTTCAAGAAATAGCCAGTCAAATCAAGATTTTTCACCTCTCGTCCGATCATATTTCCTAGTATAGCTACAGCAATGAGATCACCGCTAAAGTGCAGATCCCATGGAGCAGTCAGGCAAGTTCTCAAGCAATCACGGGTTTTGATTTCACTTTTTGGTCTGTAAGGTCATGTTCGTCATCGATTCATCGGAAAGAAACTTGTACAACACGAGTGTTATCGATGTCTGCGTAGAAGAAAGATCTATAGGACTGCATGTGACAGCAATGTTGGTATCAGATACTTTTGATGTAGATGCGAAATTGTCCTGAAGGTAGATTGTTTTCTATCCACAAATTTCTCATACCAACTCTGCAGATTAATCCCAAACTTTGCCCGTGTCATAGTGAAGCCAGGAGACCTCAATTCGTTGCAACGTTGCTGCTGACTGATGACCTGCTGACATATCAGCAGAGCTTATGAAGTTATCTCAATTATGACCTACAAAGCAGTTTAAAAGGCAGAGTCTTTTTGATGGAAATGGATTACAGAAATCAAGATGAGTCTGAAGCAATGTGTTTATTCAAAAAACTTAGAAAAATTACAGTATCTATGGGATTGCATCTGCTCGATTTTTCACGCAATGTTTTAGGCAGATCCGAGCATCACGGGAACATTGCTGGGGGAAACTGGGGGATAAGTAGCGGGGATGGTCGAAGGCTGGACGGCCTGCTGTACAAGCGTTAACACGGACATGATCAAACAATCAAACAGAATTACCTCAAGAGCAATGTTGGTGGCCATGGGGTATCCGGCCTCGAGCTTCTGCTGCTCAGTAGTGGGCTGCTGTCCGTCCGTGGGCTCCTCAGCAGGAAGGAAGACGGCAGGGATAAACGCACGAGCAAGGCTGGATCCCATGACGATGCGGTAGACCTTGAAGCCGAAGTCGTTGCCGATGATGAGATGAGCAGGAACGATCAAGACTACGATGCCGATCACGATGACGTTGGTGATGAATACCATCCAGCAGATAATGTGAACAACGTAGCATGCATCCAAGCTCTTCTCGGGTCCATGGAAGAAGCCGAGCTCAGCGCAAGTGCGGTAGGGGAAGACTTGATCGATGATCATGATACCAGCGACCTCCAAAGCTCCAAGGCCAAAGGTGTTCAAAATCAAAGAAAACCACCTGAAGATCTGGAACCTGCGTTCATCGAAGATGCTGATGATGAGAAACAGGGAGTTCAAGAAGTTCAACACCCAGAGGACAATGATGTAACCGCTCATGAGACGGTAGTTGGTGCTGTCACCTGCAGGACCGGTCTTCCAGAGGCGGTCTGCATCATCGACTCTGGCCCAGGCTACAGCGAAGTAGATTGGGAAGCCATAGTGGTAAAGGCACATGATGAGCCATCCGAGGGCGCCATAGTCAAGTTTCATGGTTTCGAATCGCTGTGTGGAAAGGGGGAAGAGCGGTTGCTTGTGGCTGTTGCAGAAGGAGGAGACGACTGTGTCGACTGCTGCTGCTGTGCTCGAACCTTCGGAGGACAGGCAAGTTATATATGCTCCTACCCTCACCCCCACCCTCTCCACCCCCTACCCCTTCGTTTCCTCAAAAGTAGTCATTCCACCCCTCCTTTTTCCTCTGCCACCCCTTTCCCAACTCGAAGCAATACACCCCATTTACTCCCCCAGCACATAGCAGACTACCCCACCCCTTCCGGGTCACAGTTGTCATTACCTACCCTCTTTGAACCAGGTATCACTCAATAAAGTACCCACCCTTTTCACTTCTTGGGGAACTTTCATCACAAGAACCCCCCTTCTTCCCTACCCCTTATATCCCGACCCCGACATTCCAGACCCGATATTCCCCCTACACGAGACAGATCAGAGCAGCCCCCAATCCGACTACCCCACCCCCTGAGACTCTGGCACACACGGCGTACCACCCTTCCACCCTTGCAGATGCACCTGTCAGCGAATAACATCGGGAATACTCCGCTCACACTGTGACCCACTTTATGTACCCCACCCCACCCACCCCTCTTTATTAGGGGCTGACAGCTGCTTTACTCACCCTACCCCTTCCTATACCGTTCCACAAGAAGATGACCGTTACATTCGACTTCACACGGTCCCCATTCGGACCCCCACCCCCTGTTGGGGTTAGGTCGTCCATGTCAAGTACCGTACCGGAACCAGTAGTCCTACCCCTTCTAGATCCTTGACTCTCGTATCAGTCAGCGGCCCTTGTCCCCAAGTCCATGTGCAGACGAGTAAGAGGACCTTGCCACCCCTCCCTAATCTACCGTCCATATGAACCACCCCTTTGACATGCCGTGATGGGTCTGGTCTTCAAACCCCACCCCTGACCAAGGACCATTCCCGGTTGCTTTGACAACAAAGCACAAATACTGAATCGACCACCACCCGTCATATTCACCACCCTGTTTCCCTTTTAGCGTATAAGGGCCGGGGGGGTAGAAACAAAAGACCGTTACCAATGGAGCCCCTCGTATAAACGAAAGGGTGGGGGAGTATTCGAAATGATAAACCGTATCATCCTTGGGGGTGGGGGGTAGGGGGTGGGGGGTACGACCAGGATGGAGGGGGGTAGGGTATACCTCAAAGGTTGCACTCGGAACTGAGGGGTGGGTGCATTTTACATATGTTGCAACTGGGCTGAAAGTGCTCTGACCCACCCTACCCCCGTTGTAGGCCTGACTCAGCAATGATTAGCGCTATCGGCAACCGGACCACCCCGACTAAACCATGTGGGTGGGTAATAACACCACTGTCATTTGACAGTAGTACTACCCCACCTCCCATTTGGACGGGATTTCCGAGGTGTTCCACCTCGGTAGTGAGCTCTGCAAAGTACCCTACCTTCCGGTGCATTCAATTGACCCTACCTACCTTACACTGGAAGTCGTAATTTTTTTCGCTTTGACCACCCCAGTTGTCCTCTTAACGGGATCACTACCCTGACCCCTGTAGTCCCAGGCCTGTCAGGCAGCTTTACCGTTCGAGCACCCACATCTCACTGATAAAGACCACCCCTCCACCATTTACAAACCAGGCTTTTTCGATAGTATGTTTTACTAAAACCAAGTTGACTGATGCTTTCGGTAGCATCAATCTCCATTGCTGGGGGATCACTAAAGGGAGGGATGACCCTACCTTTATAGCACACCGGAGTGGAACCTGTATACCCCCTCGGCTAGTCGTCATCGGGTCTCTCCCGACGGTCGAATGTTCTAGCGGCCATCATGGCTATGGCCTACCACCCTGATCCGATCCCCCACTCGGCGGAGTTGACATGGGGGTGGGTGGTTGGTCTAATTTGAAAGCCTCAGTTGTGCCCCCCAGTGGGTCATTTAGGGGTGACGGGGTGGGGCTTCACTAAAGGACATCGAAAACGAGACATTTCGATGTCCTACTCGAAAAAAAATGGGTGGGGTGGGTGCCTGGCACCACTCCGATCACGATAGATTGATAGAGCAAAGAGGGGGTAGTCGGTACTAAGTGGTACGGTAGGGGTGGTCGATATTTCCTTTCAGTGTTCCGTGGGGTTGTGACCGCGGGTACATGAGGGGGTTTGTAGCTGTCCAATGAGTAGTTCTTTGACCCTACCCACTCCAATCTGGGAAATCTCTGGGGTGGTCTGGGAGCTTGAAACTTGTACCGTACGAGCTCTTTCACTGACAGTGTAGGGTCGGAAAAGGTACCGTGGTCATTTTTAAATACCCAACCCTGGTAGCAATTTTAAAATTTGGGGGCTGCAGCGCTTGCTGTCGGTACAAAACAATAAGATCCGGCCAGTATTTTAAAAATCCAGAGGCAATCGTGGGCAGAAACTGGAGGCGGCCACAGAAGTTTAAAACCTCTAAAAGTCTGGCTGCTGCTTTTAAATCTTTTTATAACTTTCTGGTAGTGTGACTCGGTACAATCGCCTCTCCATATCAGCGGGTCTGTTTGGTACTGTGCGCGCAGCACTGAAAGGTCATATTGCACGGTGAAGTAGGAGATTGAATAGACGGCGGCGGGCGCCGCCGGCTGCCGGATCATCGGCGGGCCGCCCCCGGGCCGCTGAGCCGGCCCGGCCTGCCGGCCCGGGCGGCGGCTGGGCCGCGCCGGCGGTCGGACGGTACGGTCGGGCGGAGCCCTGCGGGCCGCCTGGCCCCGGGCGAGTCGTTAAATGTGCAGCTCCGAACTGAGTCATAATCAGCAGAGTTTAAAAATCAGTACTTCAAGAGGACAATCATGGCAGGAGAGGCAAGGAGCCTCGCACAGGCCACACGGCGAGAAGAAAAAAGACAGCGAGAACCAAACCCCATCCTGGCGCCAACGGCTGTCCCAGTGGCCGGGCCGCCCGGCCCCGAACTTGATAGTAACTGATCATCAATTAACAGTGCGCGCGGCGCGGCAGGACGGCATTCCCGGGCCCCGTGCCATGCCCCGGGGGCCGGCCAGCCGAGCCTGGCAGTGCGACTGTCGCTGAGCTTGGCTGCGCCGGACCGGGTCGCCGCCGCTGCCAGGCCGCCCCCCCGCGGACTCAGGAATGAGACGCACACCGGAATTCTCCCGCCGGGCCCGCGATGTCCGATCGGACGCCGTCACGTTCGGTCGGATGGCAGCCGCGCGAAGGAGCTGGCGTCGGAATGATCCTCAGGGCCCGGCGGACCGGGGCGGGATGCGTTTGCAAGTCGAATCCGAACCTGAGAGTCGGTCTTCAACGGCGCGGCTCGGAGGCCGTCGGAGTCACTGACGGTCGGAACTCGGAATGCCCGTTTCAAGTTTACTGACTCGGTTTGTAATGCCATCATGTCAGTGGACCGTCACGTTTCAACCCGGTCCGACCGTACCGTTGGCAACCGGGTGGCCCGGCGAGTCGGCAGCCTGTCCGTGACTGACTCGGCAGTGACGCCCGGCCGCGGCGCCACGGAGCCTCCGAGGCTCGGAGTCACCGTACGTGACGCCGTGGCCGTGCCGGCCCGCCGGCGGCCCCGGCCGGGCGGCCGCCCGCTTTGCCACTGGCAGGCGGGCCCCGGGGGGCCGAGGCCCGGGGCCCAGCACAATCAGGCTGTGCCTGGGCCAGCCTAGTAGCCTCGGAGCAGCCTCCGGTGACAGTGGCAGCCTTTTTCTGGGTCTGAGCTACTAGGCTAATTAGCTGAGCGCGCTGAGCATCAGTGGACCCGGACTCCGCCAGTCACAGTTGAAACACCTCGGACGCCCTCGCTTCCCCCTAGTATCATTCCCCTACTACACCAACCTCTTCAACACTTGCATTCCTGCAAGCGACAGTCTCTCCCACGCATGTCAAGATCATTCAAAGCAAACTGATTTGTCATGTATTCCTTGAAACTTTCTGTGTTTCGTTGAAAGTCCCTTCCATCGACCTGGTTTGAGCCACCGAATCGCTATTTTCAGTTCAGGAGCTGGCGGACGGATGCTACACAGGAGCTGCATGCTCTTCTTGCAGCACGGGAAGGAGATTTTCCTGGAGCTCTGCTAGTCAATGCAAGGGGTACAACTACAACCGCTATCCAAATCAACGTGGCAAGTTTCCTATACTAATGATATTGCCCTTTGTGCCAAATCATTCTCCTCAGATGTACCGCAGATGCTTGGCAAGCGATGATAGAACATTTCGTAATGATTCTATTTATTCAGTGGACTGAATTTTCGCCATTATCCACTTTCAACCAACGCATCGTACAAGATGTCCTACAAGGCGCTAGAGGAAAACGACGACAAAGGAAGTATGCAACAACAAACTGGGTAATGATCTACAAGCAGTGCGCCACCTTCTACTTATCTCACATGCTCTCTAGGCAAGACACAGCCCAAAGATGCATATTCGGCATTGACTTGGTAGAAGAAGAGACGATCACAGCTCTAGCTTTCTGCAGGCTGTCTTGTTGCACGCTCGTCGGAGCTCGCGTAGCAAGACGTGCTTTAACTTCGTCCAAAACGTCTCATGCATGGCAGCCAGCGGCGCGACCCAGGTATGCATAGGGGCACGGGAGATGCTCCCGATGGCAATAACCCCGATGAATTGAGTCAAGTATAGCATAACGCACTTGAACACCTGGATGAGAATTTTTTGCCGTTTTTCATGAAATACAGGGTCAGACTCTCGCTTGACAGTGCTGGAGCCAGATCGTCTTGGTGGTCGAGTCATGGGTTGGCTGAGGAGGAGGAGAAGGAGAAGGAGGATGGGAGGATGGGGTGGGGGGGGCAGGAAAGGCAGGACCTCTTCAAGAGGAGGGATGGGGAGAGGTGTGGAAAGTAGGCGGGAAGGCATTTAAATTTGAAAAATTGAACAGCTTCGGCCAGTTTTGAAATTTTGATGAATAGATGAAATTAAAGTGAAATGTCATTTTGCTGTGCTAATCGAGCAGCAAAGCATGCTGGGAGCGGCACTGCAGGACGACGGGGCGATCGTGATGAAGGTGGGGAGGAGGAGCACAACGATGAAGAGGATGAGCAAGAGGAAAAGAGAG